AGTTGTTTATTGTAAGGTCCAGGCATGTCTTCCATAAGTAGCTACAGAATTCAGCTAATACAAGCAGCCCACAGTGTTCTCTCTTGTTAACCCTTCCTTTTCTAGAAATTTCTCTTTTAAATGATCTGCAAGAGCTGCCAGGTGCCATCAATGTGCAGAAGCAAAAAGAGTGACTGCTCTACAATCTTCATGGGAAGTAGCTGTTAAGAAGAAACGTACAGTACATCTCCATAATGATGACATTGTGACCAGCACTTTACTAGCCTCCTTCATAAAGACAGATGCCAGAGCCTCCTGATGTGCATATTGTTGGGATGATTTTTAAATTCACGCTGGATTCATCTAGATGATAAAATAATTATGATAAAAACAAAAGGGAGGAAATATGGGAAGTCAATACTAAATATTTATAATAAACTGAATGCTATTTAAATTAAAAAAATTAATGCTGGATAGACTTAAAATCACATTTCGTTTCTCTTGCACATGTTTTTATTTTCTTCAGTCTCAACTGGAACGTACATATGAGTAATTGATGGTTTATTCCATAGTCAGCACCTGGCCTTATTTTGACTGCTGATTGGAGCCTTCTTGAATGATTCCTTTCACAGATGTCGTCAATTTAATTTCTGTGCAGTACATCAGGTGTAGTCCATGTGTAAAGTTACCATTTGTATTTTTTAAAAGGATGGGCAATCTCCTCCCCTGCAATTTATAGTCTCTGAAAACAACAGCATACTTAGACCAAGAAGTCCATTCAAACCACAGAACACTACAGGGATTAAAATTAAGAAAGGTGTGTGTCAGTCTTGTGCCCTTTTGCCATACCTATCCAATCTGTATGCTGAGCAAATAATTTGAAGAAGATTCATCAGTAAACTTTGCTATGCAGGTGACACAATATTGCTTGCTTGATCAAAGTAAGAAGGACTTGAAGTGCTTGCTGCAGAAGATCCAAGACTTCAAAATGGATTACATCTCAATATAAAGAAAACAAAAATTTTTACCAATAGGGACCAATAGGCAACATCATGATAGATGGTGAAAAGGTTAAAATTATCAATTACTTGATCATGCAAGGATCTACAATCAACATTCTTGTTACTAGCAGTCAGGAGACAATGCATTGGGCAAGTCTGCAGTCAGGGACCTCTCCAAATTATTGAGAAACAATAATGTCAGTTTGAAGACTAAAGTTCGCCTGATTCAGTTAATGGTCTTTTCCATCACTTGCTATGCATCTGAGAACTGGATAATAAATAAGAATGACAGAAGAAAAATCGATGACTTTGAGCTGTGGTGTTGGAGAAGAATATTAAATACTTCATGGATTGCCAAAAGGACAACAGATGTGTCTTGGAGAAAGTTCTGCCACACAATATAAAGGTAAACAATCCAATTGCAATATGGGCACAGGATATGAACAGACATGTCACCAAAGAAGACATTCAGATGGCAAAAAAACACATGAAGAAATGTTCAAAATACCTAGTTCTAAGAGAGATGCAAATCAAAACAATTATGAAATATCATCTCACCCCAGTAAGAATAGCAAAATTTAACAGAATAGCAAGCAACAAATGTGGAGAAACTGGAACCCTTATTCATTGTTGGTGGAAGTTTAAAATGGTGCAATCATTGTGGAAGGCAGTGTGGCACGTTCTCAAAAAGTTGTAAATAGAGATACCATTTGACCTAGCAATTCCACCACTGGGAATATACCCCAAAGAGACCATAACTGTCACCCAAACAGATATATTCACACCCATGTTTATCGGGGCTTTGTTCACAATAGCAAGGAGTTAGAAACAACCTAAGTGCCTATCTACAAATGGATGGATAGAGAAGCTGTGGTATATTCACACAATGGGATCCTACACTGCATTGAAAAACAAGGAACTCATGAAATATTATTCAAAATGGGTGACCCTGGAAGACATTATGCTGAGTGAAATATCTCAGTCACACAGGGACAAACACTGCATAGTGTCACTGTTGTAAAACAGGACTGACATCGGGGTCTGGGGAGACTGAGAAAGATGGGATAAATAATGTATACTTGAAACAGATGAGGGAGAAAACTGTTTAAAAGGGATATATGATTAGGTATTATTGTCCTGACAGGAGTCCAGAACAAAGGCTGCATAGTGGAATGGACCTGGGGGGAGGGATTGCATAACAATGAAAGAATTTGTCTTTTTCTTTTCAAAGAAAAGTGTACTGGAGGGGAGGGATGGGCACAGAGAAAAGTACAACAATGAATGAATGGAAATCCAAAGTCTCTGTAAATTTTTATTAAAATTAATAATAAAAAAATTTTTAAGGGGAGCTACAATCCCAGAGGCCCACAGTTCAAATCCACCAGATGCTCTGCCGGGGAAGGAGGAAAAATCTCCTCCTGTACCAGTCAGATCTGATTTGATGGTACACTCACACAAAAATAATAAAATTTTAAAAGAAGTTAAAAAAATTTTTTTTTTTAAAAAGTTCTGCCAGAGTGCTCTTAGAAGGCAAAGATGGTGACATTTTGTCTCACAGATTTTGGATATGTTGCTAGGAGAGGATATACCTTGAAGTGGGACATCATGTTTGGAAAAGTGGAGGGTCAGTGAAAGAGAAGAAGACCCTCAGTGAGATGGATTGACATAGTGACTGCAGCAATAGGCTTAAGTATATCAGAAACAGGGTTCACATCAGATGTTCATAGAAGTGCTGTGATTCGTATTCAACTTGGCAGTGCCTGACAACAATAATTAATTGAAAAGGCCTGGCAATCTATTTCTAAACTATCACAGTCTTATAACTTGTTAGTCAAATTTGTGTCTTCTAGGTTGCAACACCCCCATGATACATCTTCAAGGATATGAACATGTATGGCCAAGCACAATCAATAAGAGTGCATCTAAATTCCAAAATCAATCTCCATAATAGTCTATGTGTTTCCTACTGCCAAAGGGGCCCTTTAGAGTAGTGAGAGAAGATCTTCACCCTGAAACCCACAGCGTCCCTTTTCAGCAGGAAGTAGCTAAGAGAATACGCCATCCCCTTTTCCTTATGAATCAGGGTGAAGTCTCTCTCAGGGAGGAGTGATAGGGAATGGCAAAGGATACACTGACAAAGAAGATTAATCAGAACTGGCTTTGACAAGCACTGTGGCATTTGGACAAGAACAAACTGGGAGGAGGGTAGAGAGAATAGTGCAACAATGAATGAGTGGAAGCCCAAAATCTCTGTAAATGTTTATGAAAATTAATAAAATATAATTATAGGAAAAAAAATAAATAAACTATCCCAGTCTTAGAGGCCCGAAGGAGCACATGGGATTTCCATGAATCAGATTCCTCTCAAGGCTTGGTTTTTTGTAACCACTGCTAAGGGAAGGAGGACACTCTTCTCCACAAGGAGTTGCTTTGCTGATCCAAAGGCTGTCCTCTACCAGTTTGGATCCCTCAGTGACTCCACCAGAGAAAGATGAGCAGTTTTCTTCCCTGAGATTGACAGCCCCATAATCCACTGTAGATGTGTTGCATTGGGAAAGTCTGCAGTCAGAGATCTCTCTAAAGTGCTGAAGAGCAAGGATGTCAGTTTAAAGACTAAGGTGGACAGTGAATAAAGATGACAGAAGAACTGATGCTTTTTAAAAATTTTTTTTATTTTATTATTTTGTGTGTCTGTGTACCGTCAAATCAGATCTGACTGGTACAGGAGGAGATTGTCCCTCCAGGAGGAGATTGTCCCTCCTTTCCCAGCAGAGCATCTGGTGGATTCGAACCATGCGCCTCTGGGATTGCAGTGCAGCTTCTTGCCACTAGGCCACCAGAGCTCCCCAGAACTGATGCTTTTGAGTTATGATGCTGGAATGGTACTGAATATCCCATGGACTGCGAAGAGAATGAACAAATATGCCTTGGAGAGTGCAAGCAGGGTGCTAATAGAGGGGAAGATGGTGAAATTTTGTCTCACATACTTTGGTCATGTCTCTAGGAGGGACCAGTCCTCGGAAAAGGACAACATGCTTGGAAGAGTAGAAGATCAATGAAGGAAAGGAAGATCTTCAATAAGATGGGTTGACGCAGTGACTAACAATGGGTTCAAGTGTGGTAAAAATGATGAGGACAATAAGATAGGAAAAGGTTCAGATCTGTAGTTCATAGGGCGGCAGTGATTTGCAGTCAACTCAATGACACCTAACAACAAATAGCCTGGAAGGTTAGCTGGGAATTGGATGCAAGTATTCTAATGCATGCATTATAGATTTGCTCCACAGGAATTTCTTGACTATAATCCTTACCTGAGCAGTTGCTGGGCCTTCAGCGGAGCCTCTGGATTGATCTGAGTAGCTAGCAGTTGATTGCAAACTGCTTGCTCCTCCTCTGTTCTGTAACAGGTAGAGTGGTCCTGAGTCCGGGAGGACACCAGGGCAGCTAACAACTAGGGAAGAGGCAAACTCAATGGAATTGTCCCATCTTTCCATGTAGAGGAGAAGCCGTAGTTCGTTCCCTCTCAGCCCCTCCTCACATCCAGCCTGGGCGTTGTGTTTTCAGCAGAGGGTGGAGACCTGGCCAGTGGGCTGTAGCCTGGAGACTCAGGAGGAGGAGCCCCTGCGAGAGGTGGGGCTTCGGCTCTGCTTCTCGGGGGCGGGGCTGCAGCTGAGCAAGTCTCACCCGAGTGGAGCCAGAGCCGAAAGGCGCTTTGTTTCAGCCGCAGCTTCCTCTGCGCTCCAGCGTCTGCGCCGTCCTTCGCTCTTTGCTCCCTCTTCTTCCCACCCACCTCCTGCATCTGGGTCTGCATCTCCTTCTCCAAGCCTCTCTTCCCAGCCCGCGCTCACCCCTCCCCCAAACTTCTGGCCAGCGCCCTTGCCTGGTACCCTTCTCTCCATCCTTCGCTCCCCGCATCTTCTTCATAGATGGCTTTCTGATCTCCCGTCTCTCGAAGTCCTGGTCGCCCTGTCCGACCCCCGCCCCCTCCAGGCCGGGCATGCCCCCGGCAGCCCCAAGCCCATGGTCCTGACGTTGCTTTTCTCCGCCTACAAGCTGTGCCGCTTCTTCGCCATGTCTGGTCCACGACCCGGAGCCGAGCGGCTGGTGGTGCCGGGGCCAGACGGGGGCGGCGGCACGGGACCATGGTGGGCTGCAGGCGGCCGCGGGCCCCGCGAGGTATCGCCCGGAGTGGGCGCCGAGGTGCAGAGCGCTCTGGAGTGTGCGCTGCCCGAGTTGCAGCAGGCGCTGTCCGCGCTGAAGCAGGCTGGCAGCGTGCGGGCCAAGGGTGCGGGCCTGGCCGAGGTCTTCCAGCTGGTGGAGGAGGCCTGGCTGATGCCAGCCGTGGGTCGCGAGGTGGCCCAGGGTCTGTGCGACGCCATCCGCCTGGATGGTGGCCTAGACCTGCTACTGAGGCTGCTGCAGGCGCCAGAGCTGGAAACGCGCGTGCAGGCCGCGCGTCTGCTGGAGCAGATCCTGGTGGCTGAGAACCGGTGAGGGCGCTGGGCGAGGGCGGCTCCTGGGGTGTGGGAACAGCAAAGGAGGCGGGGTGCTGGGGTCTTCCGTTCCCCTCGCACTGCATTTTCACCGTGCTTGATCTTACTACAGCTCTATCCCTTATAGATCAGCGTGCCCATTTTATAAATGAGAAAACTTAGACTCGAAAAAGTTTAATGATTTCTTTTGCTCAGTATCCCAGAGTGAATAGTGCGGCTAGGGTTCAGTCCACGGGCTAGTAAACTGGGAACTGAGGAATGGAGGAGGAAGCTCCTTAACCATCCAAGTACTATTGTGAGAGAAGACATTTCAGTGCCCAAGCCCCTCTCAACCCACCTTCCCTCCTCCCCACGGACCTGGGTGCCCTTATGTGCCTTTCTCCACCGCCCCCCGCCCCCCAGGAGCAACTCTGCTGGGAAGAGAAGGAAACACGATGCTCCAATAGGAGAGTAGACTCCTCTCTGCCCTCTTCCCAGGCTGAAATGAACACAGACTTAATACTTTGGTCATATCGCCCCAGTCCCTCTCCTGCTTCCTCCTTCATTTTAGAACACGTAACAGACCAGACATGATCTCATTCTTTGGCTGCTGATAGGAAACAGAAGGTTTTCTGCTGGGATGAAAGGATGGGGGAAGAGGAAACCGAGGGACGACCAGGCTCAACAAACAGCGCATTTTTCTCCCCTTTCACCAACTAGAGTAAAGAATTTCCACTGAGTTGATCCCAACTCGTTGCAACCCCATGAGTGTCAGCACATAATATGCAAAGCAGGCATTATAGAAACTTTTGTAAAGAATGAAATATATACTGAATTACATTATTATTATTATTATTATTATTATTATTATTATTATTATGTGTGTACCATCAAATCGGATCTGACTGGTACAGGAGGACATTGTCCCTCCTTCTCCAGCAGAGCTTCTGGTGGATTCAGACGGCACACCTCTAGGATTGCAGTGCATCTTCTTGCCCCTAGGCCACTAGAGCTCCCTTTGAACTGCTTTTTAAAAGTTTTGGTTTTTATGGAGTTTTGGGTTTTAAAGATTTTTTTCCAGACAGTTATTCAAAGATATTAATAACTTATTACAATGTCTAAGCACACCTTATTGTGTGTTGCTGATTCCATGGGGCTTTCAATGGATGTTTTTTCAGTAGATCACCAGGCCTTTCTTCAGAGGCACCCTTGGTGGACTCCCACCTCCAGCTTTTTTGGTCAGCAGCAGTGTGTCTCCCCCGGAGTCCCCAGAGGGCTCATTGTCCCTCCCTTTGATGTCAGGGTAGACCAGGCTGTGACATACCATCCCCACAATGAGTTCTTCACACTTTGGGTCAGAAGACTTCTTTCTGCATGATGAGGCTAGCGTGGAGTAGGGACACTATTCCTTGCCATCTTCAAAATGAAAAAATGTCCTTGTGATTGGTAGAAATAATGCAAGTTAAAAGTGAATGAATAAAAAAATGAATTAATAAAACAGTTTAGATTGGGAGGTCAAGATAGCCGGGAATCATTAACATTCTGTGCCATGAATTTAGAGGGAGTTTTTATGACCTGGTTGGTATAGGGGGTTGCTCTGTTCAAATCTGCCAGTTTTTCTGTGGGAAAAAGATGGATAAATCTTCTCTCACACAATTTATAGCTTCTGAAAATTCACTTATGGGTCAGCTATGAGTTGGTTCTGGTTTGACAGCAATGAGCAGATAGAGTGGAGTGGATGTAGTTCAAGGCCCAGGCTGTGTTCTGGGGTGGGCGCAGTCCGCTAGAGGAAAGAAACGTTACAAGATGCACACAGAACTGACATTTTTCAAAGTAGAAAGTAACAGTCCTAACCTAATCCAGTGTTGGCTCAATGGCAGTAGGTCTTTGTCTCAAGAAATAAGGTGCTAGTGTTGCATGACTTCAGGACCAAGGACAGAGCACACGCTACCTGGGATCAAACTACTTCCAAGGAAAGTCATTGTCTTTGTACCTCTGTCTCAAAGGAGCTGGAAAAGGAGTTGTAGGTGGGAAGGAGTGTGTGTGGACACACTGACAACTTATGAAACCTTTTCCCTTATCTTAAGGAATAGACTCCTTAATTTCCCCCCACATTTTGCCATTTTTCTTCTTCTACGGGTGCTGCTGCATTTCTAGCCCAGGAGCCTAGATCACAGCTATCCTGACTCCCAAATGCGAGGAGAAACCCAATAGGTATTCAGAGTTTAGCCCCAGAATTCCCAATTAAGGCTCTGCATGACTACTAGCTATACAAATTAGTAGTCCATCCTATGAGGGGACTCTAATGAACAGATCCTCAGAGAAGTTATATGGTTTTAATTTGATGAGAGTGAATAAGGGAGGCAAGCTTAAAAATACCAGGAAACTATTGTCCATAAGTACAAAAAGATAATACTGTGGAAAATTATTTTTCCCTTTCACAGAAGGCGAGCTAACTATGTTGTGATTTCCCCCCGCCCTATCTTTCTCTGCACATACAAGCATTTGTATATATGTGATATAAGGAACCTGGTGGTGCTGTAGGTTATGTTTGGGGCTTCTAAGCAAAAGACTGGCTGTTGGAACCCAGCAGCAGCTCCATAGGAGAAAGATAAGGTTATGTGCAGCTGTAAAGGTTTACAGCCTAGGAAACCCTTAGGGGCAGTGCTACTCCTGTAAGGTCCCGTAAGGTCACTGTGAGTTAGCACTGACTTGATGGCAGTGGGGTTGGTTGTGGCTTGGTATTTGATACATGCATATACATCTTTAAGAAATCCTTGGGTAGCACAAATGATTAAGTGTGCAGTTACTAACCAAAAAGTTAGAAGTTCAAAACTACCTAGACAGAAAACAAACAAACAGACAAACAAACAAACAAACAACTACCTAGATAGGAGTTCTGGTGGCCTAGTGGCAAGAGAAGCTGCACTGCAATCCCAGAAGTATGTGGTTCAAATCTACCAGATGCTCTGCTGGAGAAGGAGGGGTAATCTCCTCCTGTACCAGTCAGATGCGATTTGATGGTACACACACAAAGCAATAAAAATAAAAAAAACACCCAAAACCAAAAAACAACCAAACAAAACCTACCTAGAAATGCTTCAGAAGGAAGACCTGGTGATTTGTTCCTAAAAGATTACAAACACACATGGAGTCATTATGAGTTGGAATTAACTTACAGCAATTGATTTAAATACTATATATATATTCCACAAACTTTCAGCAGGCCCGTAGCCTGTCAGGCTTTAGAATTGAAAGCTGAGTAATAGTGCTCAGAGCAAGGGCAGGGTTCATCTCTAGAGATACCAGGTATATAGAGAAAAGAGGGGCTTAGGGGAGAAAAGCAAGACACTCAGGAGAAAGTCCTGATATTCCTGAGCAAGTCCTTCCTTTCAATAGGCTTTACTTTTAAGGTTTCTGAAAATGAGGGTGTTGGATTAACTGGTTTATTAAGCACGTCCAGGTTCTGGTATTCTAGGTATTTGTGTAGCCATATTGTTTTAGAATAATCAGATACAGAGGAAAGGTCTTGGGCTTGAGAGACCTGGGTTTGAATCACACTTGTGCCACCTGCCAGCTATGCGACTCCAGACAAGTTGTAAGCTCTTCTGGCTGGATGAGTGGATAATTAGTACACATTTGTTCCTTTGGAGATGGGCTACAGAGCAGGTTAGTGATCATGTCAGTAAATCAGCCTTGCTCTTGTGGAATGTTCTGTGATAAACTGGATCCTGTAGTAGACCCAAAGCCACACACACTGTGGCCACTGAAGTGCCAACTGGGTGAGGACTCTATAACCAGCCTGGGCTTCCAAATCCGGGGGGTAGCTTCTGTGAAGGGCGTCATTTGTGGAGGTCAGGAAGGCAGTAAATCTTCACTGCGCTTAGAGTTTGGCTCTGTTGGCATCTAAGCTCCATGCTTTGAATGCCTGTCCTCCCCTCCTCCTCCAATAGTCATAGTGTGTGTCCAAAAAACCACTCATCTTCCCAAAACCTTTCCATTATAGCCCATTTGCCATCAAGATTGAGTAATGCCTTGAAATGACTCAGAAGGCCTCCAAAGCTGACCTCCCTTTCCCCACTCTCCTTGTGAGCCCTCCACCTCAGCTGCACTAAAGTGAGGGCACTTCCCAAGATCACCAGCTCTCAGACACCTCTAGGCTTTTGCATGCCTCTATGCCTGGAGTTCTGGTGATGTAATCTGTGGGGAGTTTGGGAGCTAGCCCAAAGGTCTCATCTCTCTGGCAGTTCAAGTCTATTAGCTGCTCTGTGGGAGAAAGATGAGCAGTCTCCCCTTGTGTGATTTACAACCTTGGAAACCCAAGAGACTCAGTTATGAGTCATGCCCAACTCGATGACAATGAGTTTGAGATGCCTGGGGTGACATCTCCCCTTCTCTTTCTAACTTATACCTTCACCATCTTTATTGACTAGCCCAATAGGCAACCATTCTAGTGTATTAATGTGCTCCTTTTAAATCTGTGTTTTTTCAAAATCTTTGTTTTGTGTGGGCTTCTATTTTGGATAAATGGCACTGTATTAGACAGCACATTATGTTTCTCACTTTTTTCCCCACCCAGGGTTGTTTTTAAGGTCCTTCATGTGGTTGCATTATCGTCGATTCGGTTACTTATAGCTGTGCTGTAATTCTCAGGGTGAGCACCCGACTATGTCACCTGTCCAATCTCTCAGGTTGTCTCCCTATCATAGGTGAAAAAGGTGAAAATGTGTATCTAACCCCCTTGTGAATCTGTATGAAAATCTCTTTGGGATATAAATAAAAGAATCTCATTTCCTAGCTCTTAGGAGGCTCTGCTGATTTGATGGCTAAGGAGTTGTGCTACCAGCCCAAAAGCAGCTGGTTCAACTCCACCAGCCACTCCTTGAGAGAAAGACAGGCAATTTCCTGTGTGATTTACAGTCTCTGAAAACCTGCTGGAGGGTCAGCTATGGGTCAGTTCTGAAGAGAGATAGAGAGAAGGAGAGAAGGGGCGGGGAGGAGAGGAGAGGAGAGGAGAGGAGAGGAGAG